TCATTCTTTGACATCCACTGGAGTTGTACAGTCGAAAATTTGGGTGAGTCCAATTTTTTGTGTTGGCATTTACAGTTCAATCTTGTTCATAATGACTTCTACTACCGGTAACACAGATGAACTTTCAAGATAACATTGTAAAGTTTAACTTGTTTACGAAGTGCTGACTCACTCTGCCACTCTCCAACAAGTAGCGATACTGACATTTCCTTTTGTTTATCAATACACAAAAGTACTTCTGGTCTCACTAATAGCCTTGTGCCACACCCTCGTGCTGAATAGGACTATAAACAAGTGCTCAGAACACTTAATGACTTCAGAGAGATGTTTGCACACATGCCAACTTGACAGGTACAAATGTATGTTAACAATGGGGGCCCGCATGCCCTTTTCCATAGAGCGTATATCGGCAGTTTTAATTCTGCTTAGAGTGTAGATGGACTGCTCTATTTCAACGTAGAGCGTAATTCACCGCTTTCATTCCACGTGATGCTTTGTAGCTACCTGGAATTTATTGTAAAACGTAATGGGGAGGCTTCCTGAATTCAGCGTAATACGTAGCCAGCTCTCAATTTAGTGTAGAGCGTTGTTGGGAACCCCCCATGCAGGCCCTCAAGAATGGTTACCCTAAATGAAATATTTTGGAAGCCAAGGGGTAATACTAGTAGCATACCGAGGTCAGTACCCAAAAAGCCAACATTTCACCGTATTATAGCACCAAATATTAACTCAGACAACCAAATTATTCCAGTAAGAAATATTATTCCTCATAAGTTCACACAGATACTTGGAGCTGGCTGATTTTACTTTATCTTTGAGTTTAAAATCAAAAGATACATAACATATGCACCAAAACCAACATTTAACAATCTAAACTTTATTATACATTTTGAGGCCACACCAATTTGATTTAAAGGTTCTCTGATTCTGATTTCTGATAGCCCAAAATGGCTGGTTTGTAATTCAGAGAATGAATTTCAAACTTTTAATCAAACCACTGCATTGGGCCAAAATATGAGCATTTTGGAGTGTGATTCAGAGCCTGAAATGTTTTTTTTTTTTGCAAAACAAAAAAAAATGAAGCGTGAAAGGTGATCCAAGAACCAACAAATTCAATTGGTGTGGCCTAATGCATAAAATTCCAGTGACCTTGTGTACAAGTTGGTGCTTTGTTCTCTTTTGCTTTCTTTGAATTTTTCAAATAATAATTGTGATACATGAAGCTAGTCACCTCATATATGAGCCCGTCCCCTGACACCACCACCACCCCATTCCACTCTGACACCTCCAGGTCTCGCATTAGGTCATGGGCGTGGCCAGAACGCTCTGGAACAACAACAACGAAAACCAATCTTACCTGGTCTGATCAAAGGTCATGGCCACATGGCCACACACTGTACCATGGACTTTAACTTATGGCAACTGTTTAGTAATACATTCACATACTGTAACGTAGAAACACTGTTATTTCAGTATTTGTTCCAAGAAAAGAAGAAGGAAATGAAAACAGTGCAGTTTGAAAACTTGACAAAGTACTTTTCATTGATATAAATGTGTGCTTTCAGTGTTATGGTCAAATTTAACTTGTCCAACCACTTACTAAAATTAGAGTTGGTCTTCTAAGACATATACTACATAGCTTCCAAATACAAGCAGAGAAGACAGACACTATGTGTACAGTATTTACAGGTTCATTGTACCGGTGAAATTCCCCTCACTCTTTTCGACAACTAGAATGAACAGTGGACCACTGCTTAACATCCTGTCCTAAGGACTGTGACTCTTTCCAGTAGCATGCATGTCGGGTGAGCGAAAACAGCCGGGATTCAAACTCCAACCTCTTGGTCCAGAGACAGGTTTGCTTAAACCACTGGACTACACATGCTAATCAGAAAGTCTAGATGTTCACGGTAGCAAAATTGAAAAATGGAGTTGTTCACAGAACTATATATTTACGGTGGCAACAGCAGGAAAAAGAAAGTCCAGGAATTATTTTTAACTGTAATGATAAGTTCATGGAACAGAAGTGACAGTGAAAACAATGAACATAGTACTGTGAAAAAATCAGAAATATTGTTGTGAGTACTAACCAGTAACCACCATGTTGAAGCTGATGTCGGCTTCTCCCAACATGGACACAACTCTCTCCCGGAATATCTGCTGGGCCTTCCCCTGGCCTCCAAATGGGTTGATCAGGATAAGCAGACGTGGGGAGGGGGGCAGCAGTCTGGCTTCCAAGGCTGAAGAGAAAAAGTGTAACAGCTTTAGGCCACACCAATTTGATTTGTTGGTTCTTGGATTCACCTCTTTTTTCTTATTAGCAACAACAACAAAAAAGATACTGGTTCTGAATGAACTCAAAAATGCTCATATTTTACCCCAAACAGTTGAGGAAAGTCCTTTTCTTCCTAGTTGTTACAGTTTTTCTTTCTATCAATGCAGTAGTTTGATTCAAAATTCATTGTTTAAATTTTAACCCTGCCTTTTAAGTTGACTTCATGGTTCCTATCGAAGCATTTTGGGCTATAATACGATGCCTAGATGTGTTTTTATTTTTTTCCGCCCTGTCGCTTCATATTTTTCTGAAAAAAATCCGAGAACCAACAAATTAAATTGGTATGGCCTTTATATATAATGTCAGCATACTGTAAAATGATTTACCCGGTAACAGACATAGTTATTCAATGTAGTATCTAACTTACGCAGGACTTCTCTTTATGTTCTGATCCTTGCAAAATACCTGAAATACTTTACAACATTCCAGAATTCTTACAATAGCCAACCTGACAAGCCCTTGGTGCAAGTATGTAGTTATGGTGTACAATATTGTTAGGAGCCCTTTCCACACCATGTGGTGCATAGGGCAGTGCCAATCTCTGGTTTAATGGCCCTTGGGCCACACAGTAGTGCAATCGCTACTGCGGGGTGCTAGTCAACTGGTAGTGTTCTGTATTTATTAACTACCATATGGTGGGTGCTTAGCCGAAAAAGCAGCATGAACCATTTTTAAAATCTTTGGTATGAATCGACCGGGGATTGTAGTTAGATTTAAATCGTATTGTATTTAAATAAAATACAACAATTTCAATCTTTGGTATACAACAAATATTACATAACGCCCCCTCTTAGGAGATAATGATCTTGCACCTGTTTGTGGCCCAATAGTCTGCCCAGCCAGTAGACACTTGATAGCGATTCTCCATTGTTCTGCCCGAGCGTGGTTCTCGGCATGGTCGTCTGTCGTCCTCACGCGGAATGTCGTGCACACCCTGTGTCGCGTCCAGTCCCCTGAGATGACCTTCTTCCGTAGGGGGTAGGCGTAGATGCAGAAATATGCTGCACTGTCTGACGCATGCCGGCCTCTGGAAATGGGGGAAAGATTAAAAAAACCAATATACTAGTATTTCATCCATACCATGGTATGGAGTGAAATATAATTTACAACTTTGTCAAGTAACAGTTGAAAACAGATTCAATTCTGAAACATTTTGAAAGCAGAAATTCAGGTTCATTTCACATTAAATAAGGGTGCTAAAAGTTACCTGTTTTATATTTTTTCAAAAGATGATGACTAAAAGGCTTAGGGTTTCTATTATAATAATTTTATCACTTGCCATAGGAATTTAATTTAGCACACTTTATCTAAAGATCCTTTTACAACCCTTATTTTTATGTTCAAGTGCTGAAACATTGCTTGATTTCTTAAGTTATAAGTTGATGTTACACTAATTACTTCTAAAAAATCAGTCACTATGCGTACTAGGATTGCTTTGCCACTTGGTTCAAATTCAACGTTCTTGATTGACAAGGTAACAAACTCTCTTCAAGAAGTTAATGATTGCTCTATAGTAACAATGCCAAACACGGCCTGATTAATGATTAATATACTGTGCTTCTCTTTATGTGCACGGTAGCAAAATTTCACAGTCTGAGAAAAATGGACATGTCCACAGAACTATAATATATTCATGGTGGCGACAGGTGCAGGAAAAAGAAAGTCCAGAGTTATTTGTTGTTAACTGCAATGATAAGTTCACTGTACAGAAGTGACAGTGAAAACAGTGAACATACATGTAACAGTACCGTGAAAAAAATCAAGAATTACAGGTGTTCTAGCCAGGATTTTTTCATACCCAGTAGCATAGGGATCAGGTACAGAACAACAACTTTTGTGGCGCAAATCACACATTCAGCCGAAAAGTTTAGAAACTCATAACCCCCTGAGACACTATTTCTTGTTTAATGAGGAACAAATTTTGCGGTTTCCCTTAATTATGCTATAGCTTCATTCTGAAGTTATATTTCCATTTTAGCAAGATTTATGAAGGTTCTCCCTCCCAAAACACCCCTATGCTGGTTGAAACATAGCATAGGGATAGGGTGTATATATAGCATAGGGGTCAAAATTATAGCATAGGTAGTCACAATCATTGCATAGGGGGCCTCTATGCTAAAAAGGCCTGGCTAGAACACTGTATTGTAACTGTGTTTGTTTTTAGGTGATGTTGATCTGCTATTTTACACCTTATAAGCCCTAGGTAAAACTAAAAGGCCCTACAGGTCAGGTGGATTATGTTACCAGGTGAAACCGCAGTGTGTTTAAACAAACACCTGGCACACAATAAGTCATGTTAGTCCTGCGGGAGGTGGTTGTTTGTGACAGTATTGTTCTTCTGTATGCATCTTTCTGAGCCATGACTAGGCTTTTTCTCCTGTATGATAAATGAGAATGTCACTCCGTTGTGACACGGTTTGAAAGTGGCGGGAGTTGCCAGGGAATTCAAGCATCAAAACACTGTCTGGGTTACAGCTTACCATATGTTGTTGTTGTTGTTGTTGTCCTTGTTTTACGTCTAATAATGGTCTCTTGGTGCTCGTTTTTGTGTTGTTCAGTTCAGAGTTAGAAAGTCTCTCTAGGTCAACTCTTGGTGCCTTATGGTGCAATATGCTTATGATTTCTATTTCTCTATTTGACAATTTGCCAAACAGCCACCCAAGCTGTACATAAAATACACAGAAAACACTTAGTCTACTAGTATCCACATGTATGCTCTTGTACCAGTATGGGACAGGTGACCATAGTAAAAAATACATCTAAATACTAATAGCTAAACCACTGGGTGACCACAACCAAATCACCGCAAATAATTACTAGGTATTGTCTAGGTTGTAAATCCTATGACCTCATTTGCAGTACACGTCCCCTAGGTCGTTTGAAGCTAACATCCAATAGGTCATTTGCACAATAAATGACCTGGTGGACTTTCAGCCTGATGCAAGTGGGGGCAAGATAGATAGATTCTACATGTATGCTCATGATACTAGTTCATGATTTCACAAAAAGAAAGCTGCCTTCAAAACCATATAAACTAGCTACAGTACCTTTAGAATTAGACCGACTTTTCCGTAATAATGATCTTAGTATTCTTACCATTCCTGATCATAATAATTAAAGATGGAAACTACCCTGAATATTATCCTTGGGGACTAGAGTTGGCCAAGTTATAATTGGACTAAGACAGTTAGTTGATCAGACTGCAGTGAAAGCCAAACTCTGGTAACCAGGTTAGGGAATGTAGGCCACAAGTGTAGGTTACAAGGTGTTGTTTGTCACACTTCCCTGTGACAAGTGATAGGTTTCATTTTTCAAGCAGACGTTTGGTGGAAATGTGTTTTTCTGACTGACCAAGGTCCTGTTTTTGGACAGCCAGTGCTCCAAAATGCCTGGGGTCACTCACAAAATGACAATAGTCAAAAAAATGTCATGATCTCCACTCCCTTGATCTGTCCAAAGATTAGGTATCATAGGTCACAGAAGGAATGCAAGAGTCTTTGTTTACAGCCAATTACTAAAAACAATGCCTACATCCGCTATGGTGATCCTTTGTTTGTAGCTTTAGTGACCAAGGACGAAGATTTAGTACATGTACTAAAAAAGCCACTTTTATATACTGTACGTGTATATGTTGTATATATCCACTAAGTAGCCAGTGTGTAAGTTTGTAACGGTACCTCCCCTTTACAGTTGCAGTGACAGATATTAAACATCATATTTCCAATATGATATTTACCAACCAAATGAAACCAGCTGTATCATAGAATACCCCCATACCGATGACCCCTAAATTGTCATGGATATCCTTGAAAATTGAAAGGAAGGCGTGGCGTTGTTCTTATCAAAATATGATGTTGCATTATTATCTCATATCCCATTGTGATCCCAAAGAGGGGGGGGGGGCGAATCACAAAGAATTTTCAGCACATTTCACTTCCTCTATAGGACAGGGGAGCGTACAGGAAAAGATTACGAATGAAGGATGTGGTACATAGTCCAACACAACAACATACGCCCCCCTCCCCTATAGGGTCCGTGTTTACCTGAGACAATGACACCCCACCACGTCCGACAACAACACCCTCCGTTCCCGTGGTTTTCCCTGAGTGCGGGCGTACTGGAGGTATCCCCGCGTCAGCTGGACTCGGTACCCGGTCTTGTTGTGCGGGAAGACCGTCAGATCGTCCTGCAGGATCACGTCAGACATGTTTTCCGCGTCAGGAGCGGGAGGTCGTACATACACATGCTTCGCGCTTTCAAATGAATGACCCGCCTGGAAGCGTGTGGCTTCCTAACAACATTGCACCCTATCATGTGACCTGATGTCATCCAAGGTAAACATTTCTATATTTGGCTCCGTGCCAATATCTCCCTGCAGTTCACACATAAACCGCTAGAGGTCACCACTGTAGTCTCCCTCGCTCACATCCGGTGATTCTTCACCAAAATCTCCTTGTTCGTGGCATAAAATCTCGAATAGGATACATGTATAACTTAACCACTCACAACTGCGTAAAGTGCTATGCTACAGTTGAAGAAAAAGACCCAAAAGTGCACAAATTTGCCTGTAAAGGTGCGTGCGTTTTACCCGTCATGCAGCCGAAAATTGACGACTGTTCCATATTTCAACGGGTTAGCGTGTCAATAACTTCTGTATAAAAAGCAACCATTGCAAGGGATTAACACATTTTTAAACTTTAATAAACATAATAGGTATATACTTAAGTGTTCCTTTATTCAGTAGTGTCCCTTTGCATTCTCGTTCTTTACCGACATTCAGCTGGTAAATTTACAATAGCTCTCAAAAAATTAAAAACACCCCTATATTTGAAGTGGGTGACTCCAATCCTCCTCTTTTCCGCCATCTTTGCGGCAAGATGGTAGGTGAAATTTTGAGATCGCTATGAAATCGTACTAAATTCTAAACCATCGTCGGTTATTTTAGTATTTTGATCCTACAATTATAAACTAGAATGTCATTGCTTTGTTTGTAACGTATTCTTTTGGGGGGGAAAGTAATGGTTTTTCTTGTTTTCAGGGTATAGATATTGACCATCGCAAGGACCGTAGGGTCCGTCGAAAGGAGCCGAAGAGTGAGGACATCTACCTCAGGCTCCTTGTGAAGGTACGTTTTAGTCTACCTGCCGCTTTAACCCACATGTTGGGAAAATAAAAGAGCTGGTTTTCTTATTTTAGCATGATTTTATAGTTGGCACAAGTGCCAAACAAGCTGAATAACCGAATGTCCAAAGTGCCTTCAACTTCAAGCTTGATCACATGTACAGTATTCACACGTTGTCACACTGTCTGATCTCAATGATACATTTTGTGTTACCGTAATAATCTAGTAGCGATCATTCAGTTTCCTTATTACTGCAATTTGAAGAGATTTTGGTTGTATGTGTTCTACCAGGTGGCAAAATTCCATACTATTAGTATTACCCAGCTATGTATAATTTAGTCCCAATAAGTTACAAAGTATAGTTATAAGTTTCATATTATAGCCAAAAATTTCCCATAGACCCAATGCTATAATAGTATTAATGTTGTAGGTTGATGACACTTCATTTTGCCTTTCTCCCCAGCTCTACCGCTTCCTTGCCAGGCGCACCAATGCCAAGTTCAACCAGGTGGTGCTGAAACGCCTGTTCATGTCCCGCACCAACCGCCCTCCCATGTCTATAGCACGACTGGTGAGTCCAAATTATGTCCTTTTTAGTTCAATCTTTTATATCCTAGTTTAATTTCCTTGTTTTGGACAGTTTCTTACATATATAGTTTCTCAAATATATTGCTGTGTTACCAGAAATTTTAAGAGGGTATCATTTGCCTCAAAGTTGAAGTGTAGTCATCATCTTCTAGGTAATTTTATAAAATTAATAACTGATATGATATCTTATTGCCTGACTGCCTGATTTGTAGATCCGTCTGATGAAGAAGCCAGGGCGTGAGGGTAAGACTGCCGTTGTTGTTGGCACCATCACCGATGACGTCAGGATCTTTGAAATCCCTAAGCTCAAGGTATGACAACTTACATTCTCGCCCTTATTGAGGTCTCCAGAATCTTTTTTGCTTAACCAGATCTATATTAACAATCACTATTTTTGTTTACATCATGCACATGCAAATTATTTGAAGGGATATACAAATTATCGGTAGGCGAATCACCCAAATGTCACCTACATTTAACTGTACCACTCGCTGGCTGAGATGTCTTGGCTTATGCTCTGTAAAGACTTTTGGAAAAGGCTGTGGCACTAGTGAATGTTCTTGCTCATGTGAATTATGGCATTGGTGGAGTTATGATTAATCTGTGACTAACTCACTTGTAGACCGCTATCCCTAGACCATTCCCTAACACAGCTTGTGTTACTCCCAGATTTGCTGCCTCCATGTGACAGAGGGTGCCCGGGCCAAGATCCTGAAGGCTGGTGGGGAGATCATCACTTTTGATCAGCTCGCTCTGAGGGCTCCCAAGGGGAAGAACACCGTTCTGCTTCAAGGTAAGAAACATCAGTGGCACTTCTGTTAAATGGAAACTTCTGTTCAAACACTTTTGTGTGTCTTTTGACTAAGATTCAAAAGCCTAGGGAAAAAAGTTGTGCAATTCTGTTTCCCGACCGACCATAGAAAAAACTAAGTTAGGCCTAACAGTGGCTTGTGCAGGATTGCAGCACTTTCTTCATAATGTCTTGGAATATTACTAACTTGCTATGATGATATTTTACCGCCCCAGTCTGAATATTAGTGACTGACAGGTATCACTGAGCACCTCCATGACACAAATTTCATTATTTATAGTATAGTACTATTGTTAGTAATATTGTCAGCAAGGAGAAGACAAAGCTAGTGCTAATGATGTGACATTCTCATAAAGTGAACCTAAGTTTCCCAACTTACAGCATCTTATTTGTTTTTCTGCAGGGCAACGCAGGGCTCGTGAGACTTGCAGACACTGGGGTCCAGCTCCTGGTGCACCTCACAGCCATACCAAGTAAGTACACGGCCTTTTGACCATCCAGGGCTGGAATTACCCCTTAAAGGACAAATCCAATACTTTCAGTTTTGGGGCCTTTCCACCCAAAATCCTATTTGTAAATGGTGATTTATTGGTTTCTGCCAACCCCGCACATATTTGCGGTTATATCTGACCCGCTCGATGTTCCCCGGCTAGAGCCCGATTGTCCGCTAGGCGGCGCAGCGACTGTAGATTTGACGTCACCGTTTCCATTCTGCTACTAGCGAAAACAATCATGGCGGGCGCATCTGGACTGCATCGGCTGTGAAACCCTTCCGTTTTGAGCCACAGACAGACAGTAGTGGTGACTCTGACCCCGATCCAGGCGATGAGAACGTTTGGGATGGAGGTGACGTGGAGATAGAGCGTTGGAGGTTGGGGAACCGGGACTGGTGCCGCTGTGGAAACTGCCTGGAATTGCCCTCTGTACGGGAGTGTTTGTTGCCACGACCTGCCAGACACTGTTCAAAAAGAACGTCGGTCCAAACCACCCATGCATTAGAAACCACCCTGACTTTGATGTGATTCTCCACCCGGCAAACCTCCGAACTTTGCAGATTTTTCGTTGGGATCTGATCCAGCAGGGCGTGCAGGAGCCGGTCTCTAACAGGTCGGTACCGCGGTTTGTTTACGTTGCAATTCACTCAACCCTTTGACAAATTTATTTACATCGATCGTCCAACCTCCAACGCTCTGTCTCCACGTCACCTCCTTCCCAAACGTTCTCATCGCCTGGATCGGGGTCAGAGTCACCACTACTGTCTGTCTGTGGCTCAAAACGGAAGGGTTTCACAGCCGATGCAGTCCAGATGCGCCCGCCATGATTGTTTTCGCTAGTAGCAGAATGGAAACGGTGATGTCAAATCTACAGTCGCTGCGCCGCCTAGCGGACAATCGGGCTCTAGCCGGGGAACATCGAGCGGGTCAGATATAACCGCAAATATGTGCGGGGTTGGCAGAAACCAATAAATCACCATTTACAAATAGGATTTTGGGTGGAAAGGCCCCAAAACTGAAAGTATTGGATTTGTCCTTTAATTCAACACTGTCTTTGTACAATAGAAACAGCTTGTAATTTGTTGTACTGTGCAGTTAGAATCTGTGCTAACATTCAACTTAAAACTTAATGTTGTAGGATAAAAGTTTTTTTTCTCACATGTACTTTCACAAAATAACGTGATTCGAGTAAGCCAAAAATTTGGTGACAAAGGATATACAGTAGTACAGATATTTATCCCATGGACTTGATGGTGTTACAAAAAAAGTTCATAACTCTCTTCTTAGATGGAAGAACAGCAGATTTATAGATGTGCAAGTTGTTTTGCTTCCTGCAATGTTGATGTGTAATCCTTACACTGTTTTCCTTTTATTTTAGACCATTTGTCCGATCCAAGGGCCGTAAGTTTGAGAGGGCACGTGGTCGCCGCAAGTCCTGTGGCTACAAGAAGTGAGGAGGGTCTTACCAACAGAACACCCTGGTGGGAAAACACTTCCGACAGATATAAGATGCTCCTGAGGATCTGACAATAAAATATCTCTGTGGATATCCTATTCATTGTCAGTGGATTTTATTGTTTCTGTTATTCCATATCCATTAGGATAAGCCACTATAGGTCTGACCTATGTTTGGACATTTAATTATGTTTACAGAAGGAAACTCACTCACACTCTATCCGGTTTATCACCGTTTTTGCTCAGTTTCCTCTTCTCCAAACACAGAAGGTCAATGACATGGACCAGACAGTCTATCATCATGGTAACTGGTGTTGGGTTACATCATGTTGCAATTTTATAGCAGGAGGGATTTGGACTCCTGTCTGACCATATATATGAATGTGTTTGAGAATGAGTGAGTGTTTGAGAAAGAATTAACAGAGCAAATTATGCATTTGCTTTGCTTTCTAGTTACAACTGAATTGGCCTTCCATAGAGTAATCTGCAAGCAAGAAAATACTAAGTAGCCAAGATCTTATACATATTTTTATTGCATGGCTTCTGTTGGAAAAGTTTTCTTGAGAAACGAGCCACAAATTGTACAGCAGTATCGTGTTTTCTAGAATCTACCAGTTTGTTGCAAATGACCTGCCTTTGCAACCCGAGAAACCAGTAAATACCATCCTTCAACAGCAAAACAAATCAGAGATTTACAAAATAAGAGAAAACACAATTTTCAAACGGCAAAACTGTATTGAAATCTTCATCTTAGAGGCTTCATTCTGATGGACCTTGCACTTGATTTCGTGAAAATGCATTTTGAATGAGTTTAAAAACAACATTTTGGCAATTATCCCTCTTGCAAGCACTGACTCCATACCATCTACATGTAGTTACTATTTAGCCACTTCGCAACTCTAGCTATTACATGGTGCCTTGTAAAATGTGAAAATCAAACTTGTCTACATTCGTCCTGTCAGTGAAGTACAATGATTTTCCTGCTTCTATTGGTGCAAATAACTAGCACTAAGTTACTGTCTCAACACATCAATTATGATATTCTCATATTCCACAAGATATCTGGCAACATGTACCAAGTTTTCTGTTATTTGTTACATAATTGTATTCTTCCGATAGATCTCCAACAAAATTATATATTGACTTGAGAAGCAACCATCCATGCTGCAAAGTGTTATACATATTCTCAGTATTCTGTTTTCTAATATAAACAAAGCAAACCAATAATGCCCACACTAAACTTTTCATCTTTAGGCCCTCTCAAGTCTGTGTTGAGGTAAGCACTGGCAAAATCTCAAATTGTCTCCAAAATGTTTCTCTTGCATGTAAAAGCCAGGAGCTAGAACATTTTGTCTCCATGTTGAATTGAAAATGCATTTATTCCTGGAAAAGTCATTGTCAAAAAGTACTTATAACTTTAAAAATCTGTCCAGTTGCTTGAGCAACAATTTTCTTGTGTATCTTGTTACCTGGATGTCTAACCTTCATCAGCGTATTTTGGAACTTTTGTTTTTTGATTTAAAGTACATGTATCTTATGTTTTCGTGAGAAAAATTCTGAGGGATCAGTGATACCCTGGCAATGCTGTTTCTCAAAACTTAAAGTCCTGGCATATGTTCCAGAAGTATGAAACCATCCTTTGTATCATTTCATTTCTGTCTGTAACAGTTATAATTTGGGCACAAACAGTTTTAAGTAAATTGTTCCAGACATATATATAGGAGGGTCCAGCCTCCCTTGTCGCATGCAAAAGGCATGTTACCGGTATAATAGACCACGATAAAATATGGAAAATAACAAAAAACCAAACCTACATGTACAATAATGTTAGCAGCAATGTAGACCTGCCATGTCAAACAACAATCATTATGATGGCTTTGAGGCACTGCATTGTGAGTGTGGTGTCCTACAGTAACATTCATGCCTGTGTAAACTTAGTACTAGTAAATGGTTGAGTTTCAGTATGTGTAAGTCAATACAATAAGGAACAATTGTAGTAATCTGTAGCTATTGTACACAATCATGTTGTCTCCTTTACCAGACCGAATTAGCTCCAGATACAGACATCTTATCTCCAAGCAGATCCTAGGGTGGCAAAAGACAGTATCAAATTGGCCAGGCAGTATCCAGTGGCAAGCTCTGTCTTTTGCCACCCTAGGATCTGCTTGGAGATTAACAGACATCAACTTATCACCGATTACTACTAGTATGTTGGTAATACCTTTGGGACAAGTGTGACTAATCTTTTATTATCTCACAATTCATAATCATATTCCCATTTCAATATGTGAAACATGTAATAGTACTAATACTAAAAAGATCTAAGAATAGCCTCCAAGCTTCAACCTCGAAAAAGTTTTCCTGAACAAAAATCACATCATTGACATCAAGGAGTTAATAAGTAATGGCTTCTTTAAACATTTTCCATTGGTGAGGTACTGATATTGACATAAAAGTACCAATAATACTTGAACAACATCATGGCAAGGAACCAACCAACACACTAAAACGTGTCATGATCATATACACAAGGCAATGAGACACATGCCAACATCAATTCATATTAAAATTTCATGTGTAAATTCTTGATTATACAGGCTTCTGTTCCTGTCCCATTACTTACATGTAGTCTTTACTGAAAATTAATTTTTCTGACTACCTTCCTATTAATTATAATAAAAAGGTTTAACTTAAATAATCAAGACATTTAGATTTAAAAAAAAAAAAATTGTTCCTCCTTGCCCTGGACAAATTCAGGCTTTGTGCACACAAATTTTCAATACAATACTGTTTTTCTGCATGGCCTTTCCTTTTTTTTGTCTTCTGTGCCTCATGTCTTTCTGTCATCATTTCTTTGGCACTACATGCAGCAGGAACAATACGTTGTACAAAACACCTGTTTGAAAAAACGTATACCATGGAAAGGAAGTACTGTTCCATCCACAATGGATTAGCACATACAATTTTTGTAAGTACCAATTCAATTCATCTTTTTGAATTACAGATTACTTGTAACGGTATGTTCTTTTTATCATTTTCTCATGTTCTTTTCTTTTGGAATGACCAGTAGATAAATGTTTTTGGACCCTCAAAATCATCAACTGCGATAGGTGACTTTGAAAGATATAATTGTATGAAGTTCAATAAGATATAAATTGCGTGAAGTTGGGGTAAGATGTAATTGTATTTTTCACCTTATTGTTGGGCTGTGTTGTGTTATCTTGAATTCTTTTTCTTGTTAGATCATGATATATTTCTTCATTATCTAATCCAAACCTAACTCAGAAATTCATCTGTCATGTCAAGAGAGAAACCAAGTATAAGGTCCTTCTCACAAACCAGCATATATTAGAGATAAAAGAGGCATAAATTACAAATGTTAGTTAAAAATGATACATCCACTCTAAAATATACTCTTTAAATATATGTTTTAAAATGTCATACTCTTCTACATATACAGTAGGGACAATTTTTACAATCTGTAGTATCTTACAATTGCACTACTTACAAAACAATTATACACTGGTTCATAGCTTGATCTGTATGATATTTAGGTACAATTTGGTGTCACATGAAATACTATACATTGTCTTGTTTGGATATATGCCATGAATCAGGAGAATTTTGCATGTGCTCCTGGGAACCTAACAAGTTCTGGGTGTTGCTTTGCTTGCACTGTTTGACATCTGGACTATGTGCTTGCAACTGCATGCTTTCTCTACTTTCGGTCGTTTTTTGGCCGTTCGGTGTGGATTTGTCTTGCACGCTGCTATCCCTCGATCTCGCTTCTTCGTTCAATGCCTGGAACAGTCTCGGGTCCAACGAGCAGACGCTACGCCTTGATCTTTCCCTAGAATCAGGCACTTCAGAAATCACGCCCACACTGTTGCTAAGTTTATGACATCTAGACAACAACGTAGATCCTTGTGCATGTAGGGACGGGACACTGAGTCTGTGTGGGCTGGACAGAAGGTCTGTGGAGTTGTTCCTTGTTTGCAAAGTCGTGTCGCTCTGTAAGGTATCGCGCGACGAGCACGTGGGGACGTGCTGGCTGCTGCCGAGAAGAGTGTTTGTACTGCGACCTGCCGACACGCTTGCGCTGTCTGACCTGGATAAGTCCTGTGCACTGATGGAGCCCTGTGTGCCCTGCCTTTGGAGCATGGGGATCTGGTCACCTCGTATGTCCACACTACTGCCCATCACGCAACGGAACCCAGTGGTTTGGTCGCTGGCGTGCATATTAACTGGTGTGCTAGCCCTTCTGAATTTGTCACCGAAGCTTGCATCCGTCAAGTGTGCAACCTCCTCATCCAAACGGTTATCCTCGATACTACTGGTCCAACTTAACGACGGGAGATCTTTCTCTCCGTAGTCTGAAATGCGAATCTCTTCCACGCTGGGAGTGCTGACTTGGATTTCGTCATAAGACGGTGGTACTTGGTCACTGTAGGCATCTTGAGAGCTCGTGTTGCTCATTGTGTCGTTGGCCAACATAGGTTCTGTCTCGGCCTTGTCCTTGGCATCTTTACATGTCCTCTTCTTGTTCTTGAACTTGACGCCGAGGATGGTTTCTTGTAGGCGGTCCTCGTTGTTGTGGGCCGAGGAAAACGTCCTCATCTCGATGTCTCCAGTGTACTGGTTGTCTTTTTCATCCTCCTCGTGGAAAATCAGGCTCACCTTGCTGGGAGATATGGTATACAGGAGGTCTGTGGGATATAAGCGGAACAACACATTTAAGAAAATAAAAACTTCCAGCTGCATTCAGCAAAGATTATTTCAGAGAGCGGTTCAACTTGATTTCATTTTCAAACAGTACAGTTCGGTTATGTAGGATGTTAAGTTTCCAATTCTTGAAAATGTACCAATCATTTGTTTAGGATAAATTTCCTCTGGTGCACCTTTTGGTACAAAGAAACAACATTACATATGTGTGTAAAACTTAAGAACCTAAATGAAATTAAAAGGGAATGACAGACTACAACAGCTGCTGATGTACATCTCTAATAGCTGATGGTAGAAAGGGAAATTGGGAAAATTCACAAAGGTTGACATATAACATCATCCACAACTTGGCTACATCTTAAACCATGCACAGTTACACATAAATGTACTTCTAACTAACACAGGAGGCACCATCATGCAAAAGTGTTGCTAGTAAAAGCTGTTAGTAAACAAACATAAGGTTTCTGTTAATAAGAACAAGATTTTTGTGTACCAATTAGGTAGGAAGATGTAAGTTCAGTATCTTGGTACAGAATACACAAGCCATGCAATCGTTTGGACTTAGTCTAGGTGAAAAAGAGCAAAAGTCATGTTAGTTTGCCTGCACTGTGAGCTCTAACACAGAATACAGAACAGGAGACAAAGACTGTGGGAGAACCTATTACATAAAGTTATAACACAGCAAACAGGCACCTGGTTAGAGTCATACTACTGGTAGTTTGCAAGAGTTATACAAATGTATATATACATAATCATAGTAAATTTCATGATGCTGTCTTCAGAAACAATGTTACACATTTGCTTTGGAAATGGTCTTGACAATTGGGGAAATCTTCAACTTCCATTTTAATCCATTATATGATATATAGAGATTTATACTTTGTAGATTACTACAGTAAATTTATTATGGGTTCACCACACCACGAAGTGGTGGTGAACCCATATTGCTTTTTCTGATGTTTCTTCTTCTTCTTCTCCTCCTTCTCCTGCCATTTTTTAAATGGATTCAGCTTCTTCATTTTAGGGCCTAAGGTCCTGAAATTTGGTATGGAGGTACAGTGGGCAAATACCCCTAGGCGTTTTTAAAATTTTTGTGATACAGGCTTTTAGAATGGTTTTATTTGAGTTTTTTGGCTGTGTTATAGCAAATGTATTACTGAGTTAGTGTGCAGTGTTACCACATTTGGGCATGAGTCATCACAATGGAATGCAGGGCATCAACCAATAGGCATGCAGCTTTCCTCTATTCTCCTTGCTGATTGGCTGTTGGAATTTAACAGGCTTAACTTAATTAATACCTGCACAGAGTCATGCCATACTGACAGTAGGTCTGTATTCAATTGTTTTGGTAGGTATTTTAAGCTTTCCTGCTCCAGCATTGGAATGCGGGGCATGAACGCTTCTTTTTTTCTTGAAAATCAACAGTTTGCATTATGCAATTAAAAATCCTAACCAATAATGTAGGGAATAGCTATCCAACTGTTGTCGTATTTGTTGTATGTTACTTCATACTATAGTTATATCAATGTAAAGCATTGTTTTCCCTTGTGTTTCTCATTCTTTCCCTGCCATGTCGTAAAATGTGGTGAAGCCATTGCTGTATTTGCTCCAAAGCAAATGTCGGCCTTTCTAGTACTTTAATTGGTTTTCATACAATCACTAAAATTTGCTCTTATAATCCCCCATCCAGTTTTGAAAAATGGACTACATGCAACTCCCAGGTGCAACAATCGTTAAAAAGACTGAACCTGTTAGTCTAGAGAGAAAGAGAGAGAGACGGGTGTTAGTCAGGAGGAATGTTTGTTTGTTTGTTTGTTCCACACCTACCCACGAACCAAACACAGTACAGTACTCACACACGCACCAAATCTCACTATGCTCGTTTTACCGCAACCGCCCACTTTGCAACGGAACCTACAAAATGCAACATGAAGCAGCAATGCTGTGACGTACGTACATATAAATAAAAACAGCGCAAAAACATAGCATATTTTTTCAGAAAAGACCATAAAGAGACAACAACAGAAGGGGTGGAAAGGGTGTAAGCCAGCTTTGCAAACAGGGTGGTAACTTTGACATTATCGTGATTACTATACAGAAGAAACTGTAACAAATTCTTTACAGATGACTTTCTACTCCTGAGGGAAATACTAGTACATATCATCACACTTAGAGAGACATGATAATACAGATGAGGTGCATGTATGTAATTGTAGTATTTGTACAGCTCAGAAGGAACCATCACCTAGCCAGAAACAGTGCAACAGATTTCTGAAAGAATAGAGTCATTCAAATAGTTACATGAACAATCATATAACATGACACTCTATCAACTATTAATGTTACAGGTCATGTACAAGGAACTGAACAATGCATTGAAGGTCTAAAATCATCCTCTGCATTCACGTGCAATAAAAGTCTGAGAAAACAGTTGTGTTATCATTTATAACATTTAGGCCACACTAGGTTAATTTTATGGATGACACTGCTCGCGCATTGATGTTCACCTATTCTCAAAAAAAAAAGATCACGTCGTCTTCCGAGGCTCTGTCCTGGATGTCATCCTCCAGAGTCCATGGTAGCTAGCAACAACAGGGAGCTAGTCAGTGGTAACTACAAATGGCACCCAGGCTGCCGAAGCACGTGCCGGCTTGCTGTAAAAGTTGCTATGTACTACTGCAAATTTACAATACCAGCTTTTTATTTCAATGGTTTAGCAGCATTTTTATTTTTGGCCAGATTTTTTTTATTCGCCCGTGGGCACTAGTTTAGGGGTCTTCAAAGGATGTCAACCATAGAATTAAGTCAGCGTGGCCTTAGTGTGGTTGCTACCTTATTTAGCACAGTATGATCATCAAGCCGTGATTCCAAAGGGCCATATCTACATGTATAACTGGTAGATTTGAAGCCATCTGAAACATTTCCAGCCAGGAAACCTTGAATACAAGAGCCCCACCTTTATTGTCACTGCTGCCTCCACTGTTCTCAGGTGACTGGACAGGGAAGGTGAAGCTGTCAGGCAGGGAGTGGAACCTGGTCACACGCTTCTTCCCATCTCCATTACCCTGCAAACATAACAGTTCATCTGGGTTCAAATCACTTCTAGAGCTCTATCCACCAATCCCGAAGAGTGTGTGTGTGTGTGTGACTGTGTGTATACAATGTATGATTGTGCACGTGCATGACTCTATGTGTGAGCATATGTGTGTATGTATGTGTGTGTAGGTGTATGTGCGTGTGTGTATGTAGGCGTGTGTATGCGTGTGTGTGTGCGTGCATGTGTGTGTGTATTTGTGTGTGCGCACGCATGTGTATGTATGTGCATGTGTGTATGCGTGCATATGTGTGTGTGTGTGTGTGTGAGTGTGAGCATGTGTGGGCACACGCACGTGTGTGTGTATGGGTGTGTGCATCTCTGTGTGTGTGTGCGAAACAAATCTAGCCATCCCCATTCCAGGATCAACATACCAGTTAGTCATATGGCAATATACAGAAAGTATGAATCTTCCTTTAAGTTACATGTAGTTCATCTCCCAGCTAGGTACACTCCACAACTCTGTCACATTCATATTCTCCCCACTGTGTGAGTGACTTACCTGTCCATTGTTAGCTCCCTGCTCGTCCTCCAGACCTCGGAACTCCTTCCCTTCGGACGGCTCCTCGTCCTGTTCCTCGTCGTCCGCCATGCTGCGGTTGCTGTCCTCCATGTTCTTCATCAGCACGGCCACCACCACGTTCACCAGCACAAACTGCGCCATCAGCACAAACGACACGAAGTAGATGGGGGCGAGGATGGCGCTCACGCAGCAGTTAGCCTTGCAGTCTTCGGAATCGTCGCAGTCGGGGGGACCTCGCAGGGTATCCTAGGTGTGGAATGGGAAGAATTTAGCTTACAGCGCAGCTTGTGTAGTTACCTGTGTGCAGTCCTGAAATTGAAATTGTAAACTCCAAGCAGATCTTTCGTAGCATGGGTACCATCCAGATTTTGGCTCCGTGACGTGATTTCTTTGAGCATTGCAGAGCCAAAATCTGGATGGTACCCAGGCTAGATCTTTTGCTGGCTGCAAAGACAATATTGCTTTGGTCAGACAGTATCCAATGCTGAGTGGGATGGCAAAAGGTACGTGTCTCGCAAATGTATGTACTGGCTGGCCAATTTGATGCTGTCTTTGCAGCCACCAAAAAGATCTGCTTTAAGATTACTGAAATTGCACAAAAATGCACAATCATTCGGTCAAACACTCAAATTACTTGATCCAGTAGCATTTGCCTGATTCTTATTTCCCAGTATATCCCTGTATGGATAAAACCTCAAGTGTTAAAATTAATTTTACATCTGGAAACAGACAATTGATGAGACTAATTCTAGACTGAGTTTGATAATTGGTCTTGCTTGTGTCTTCTTCTCCTTCATTGCAAGCCTCAACATTTCTGCTAGGGGGTGCTTCTGCCTTAAGTCCCTACCTTCATGATCCCATTCCAGTTGTCTCCCGTTCCTACCCTGAACAGCGTGAGGAAGGCCATTCCGAAGTTTTCAAAGTTGGCATGCTTGCCAAGCCCAGAGCAGGGGTGTTCCATAGAGCAGGCTGAAACAAGGCAAAAGCTCTGTTTCAATCCTAGACCCAACCTACCTTCATGATCCCATTCCAGTTGTCCCCTGTTGCTATCCTAAACAGTGTGAGCAGAGCCATGCTGAAGTTTTTAAAGTTTGCATGGAGGCCCAGCCCAGAGCATGGCCGTTCCACATTAGAAGTACAGTCTGAAAACAAGAAAAGAAAGTAAACTAAACTACAGACTACACTACATGTCAAGGGAGATAACTCAGGCTGGAAGGCAGGAAAAGGAACGTGTGGTACGTTGTGAAAGGAGGGGGAAATGATAGGGAATTGTGGGAGTCTACTATTATCAAAGTATGATACAACACGTGCATTATTGCCACAATACATGCAACAACAGCTAAGGCTTGTACTGTAGCGTACAATGTATAACATCATAAAATTAATATACAAATTACTACATTGTTCTAAGACTTGCACCTTCATCAGCGTCACACACACACACACACACACACAAACAAACACAGACAAGGCAAAAGCAATACTTCACTCCCTTGGGATGAAGCTATAATAACATTCAACCATGAAAGCCTGATATGTTATCAGCATACAAAGTCACCATGTTAGTTTTGCTATAGAAACTGTTAGCTGAGACATACAGCAGCCCTTCTGCTACCAATTTTCTACACTCCTGTAAGTCTGGAGTAGCCTGGGAGCCATTCATTGTTTTTTTTAGGATAGCAAACGCAAGAAGTCCCCTTACAAAACGGATGGCACCCAGGCTATGTCTGGAGTCTGTTTCTCCAAAAGATCTCCATTTGAGAATGTCTTAAGAAACACTTAATGCTTCCTGCCCCATCCTCTTGAATACAATAGCTAGACAATTTTATAAGTAGAAATCTAGAATACCGGTAGTGCTGAAAAAAATATCATATTTTCTGCTGTTTTATTAATACTTACCGCCTACTTCTGTTCTGTAACATGATTTGCAGTGTTACACAAATGTATATTCACAAACAACAAAGACCAAGACTATTCCAAGCAGTGTTCTAGCCAGCATCCGTCTTTCCGTCTATAATTTTGACACACATGACACAAAAATTTTGCCACCTTTTGACATCTTGTGCTCGTTGTGATGTCATGTTCAACAAAATTGAAATGTTGGCTGGCTAGAACACTGATTCCAGGCAAAAGTTAGTACAACTTTGTTTTCCTCTAGGTCCTGACCCATCTTGCTAGATCTTCCACCACCACCACCACCCCTCCCCGGCCAGTCCCCTGTCTGTCACATACATGTAACAATGTTACGTACCAATCTTGCCAAAAAGCTCGACTCCAAGAGCAGCAAAGATGAAGAACAACAGGAAGAACAGCAGCCCCAGATTCCCAACCTGCAGGGGACAAATGTTCAACTCATCTGTTAGGATGGGTCAAATCATTGAGAGTGTCTTGGGCCAAGGAGCTTATTGCTTGGACATACAATGTACATGTACATGAATGATGCTATTTTCTTCTTTACTTTAATCTATGAAGTGTCAACAGTTACTCACTATCCACTTTATTTTTTCAGTGAAAAGTACATGAAAATTTGTATCATCATTGGAAGCCAGGAAAGTGCAGGACAAGAGAAAATCTACTCAGCTGACACCTAAAGGATTGCATGCACACTTTTGAGTTTTTTTGTTGAGTTGTCCAAGGAAATTATTTGTTTCTTTGACAGAAAAAAAACAATTAACCCACCCACATCACATGCAGTGGAGTGCATTTATTTAAGTTCTGCCTCTAACAGTATGTGTCATGACATTGTCTATTAGTTCTTTTAAGTCAGACTATCACATGCAACATAATTCTATACATGTAATGAACAGTGTCAGCATCCTTTAGATAGGCTCTAGTGTAGAAGGTAGAAAGAATTGAATTCCAAATTTTAAGAATTGGGGATTCAATTCTTCTCCCCTTTTTCATAAGTCTAAGGAGCTTTAAGTCACACCAGTATACTAGAAATGCCAAGCATCGTCTTTGAGTAATTAGGAGACTTGCTATGAGACTTGCTATGATTTGATTTTCCATAGGTGCCATACAATTTTTGTATATCATAAAATAATATCATGGTAAGCTGTTGTAAAATATGTTAATATTAAGCTATCTTTTATCAAGTTACAAAATTTTCAACAAGGATGTCTTAAGAACCAAAATTTGAAAATGGGGGCAGTCAGAATTTAGAATCAAATTGAAATCACAATGCTTGACAATAAATGCATCCTTTACTGTAGCCACCATCGGTTAGATGCACTTTAATTATATCACAGCACAACACATCAGTTTGTTTAGTTTCAAAGAACGGAATCATTGAAACGACACAACAATGTCCCTTATTTTTTATATGGCACAAGCTCAGCATGCTGACAAGTGACACATTCAAGAAGAACTACATGTAAACCAAACTACACAACATACTAAGCAACAGAAGTTTGAATAGTGAAAGGTCTTGACAAAAATGTTAGATGTTAAATTAGTATGATTAATATGCAAAAGAAATGCCAAACAAAAGGCAAGAGTCTGCTTTCTATGGAAAGAAAAGGGGCACACTTTTTTCCATGGCTGCTCATCTGCCCGGGCAAGATCCTGGTCCTCTCTTTTGATGCAGTTTTGATCATGATCAATGACATCTATTTTTTAATATTATATTAGGTACCTTTAGTTGGAAAGTTCATCATTGTTTCTGCTTATCACTCCTACTGAGTGTCTTTTTAAGAGACATTCCTGTATGACTGTTACACTCAGGTTGACCATTTGACTTGGTGAATCCTGCCAAATACAATTTTTTGTGGTGATTTTGCAAGATGGGTCGAAGGAAGAGCAGGACCAGGCTCCATGCCAGCAGACCGCCATTACCTGTGGCAATGCTTTCATGACTGTCTCGAGAAGAAATCTGATGCCTTTGGCCATCTTCAGAAGCTTCAAGACTGCAAAGCAAGAAGCAAGACATGGCAGAGGAAGCCGAGTAAGACGTTATATCCTTGGTCAGTGTCAGTACTGCGCTTCTGTTGCTTGCACATTTGATGATGATAACAGCCACCATTTCAAAGTCACCACATAAAATGATTTCTTCACTTGAGTTTTCAAGCAACTATTATAATAGCTACTTCAGAATACAGCTGGTGTACTTTTGAGTTGCAAGATTCTTGAGTGAAATATTCTGTGCCAACTCATTTTATGGTGTGCACAATGTAACTGGCTGTCACCACATGTACAACGAACCCTGAAGCGTGGGTTTGAAACGAGCTGACAAAAAACTGTCACAGACATTTCGTCAGCTTATTTCTGCGGCAGCGCAAAAACGCCGCCTGCCTACCTGAGGCAATGCCTTCATTACTGTTTCCAGGAGAGACCTGATCCCTTTGGCCATCTTCAACAGTTTTAGGACTGTGGAGAGACAGAGAAAGGCTCGTGTGTTAGAGCACCATCCGGCACCATGTGTGGGAGAGTTGAGGAAAGACCACAGGGAAAGGAGAGAAAGACTGAAAAAAAAACTGATTCAAAAGAAAAACATAATAAGAAAGCATAGCAGATGGATAGAGGTGGCAAGCTCTAAGCACTTGTAAAGAGGAGGTGGTAATATTGCAGAAGGTGTTAGAAAACATGCAGTTAAAGGGAATGCAAAGGTTTAGCAAAGGGACATCTATGATTTATAGTATTTGTGTTAACATTTTAGTGAGAAGACATTAAACATTTAGAAAATGATGATTAAACATTTAGAAAATGATGATTAAACATTTAGAAAATGATGATTAAACATTTAGAAAATGATGATTAAACATTTAGAAAATGATGATTAAACATTTAGAAAATGATGATTAAACATTTAGAAAATGATGATTAAACATTTAGAAAATAATGATTAAACATTTAGAAAATAATGATTAAACATTTAGAAAATGATGATTAAACATTTAGAAAATGATGATTAAACATTTAGAAAATGATGATTAAACATTTTGAAAATGAAACAGTCGTGGAAAGATGTTTTGAGGATGTTTTGTGGTAATAACGCTTTGTAGAATATTAGTCATGCTATACAACAAATAGCTGATAGTAGGTAAATCTTGTAGAACTCAAAAGCAAGAATAGACATATCTGCCAATTTAGGGGGGGGGGGAGGACACAGGATTAGAAAGAGGAAACAGTGAATGTAGATGTTAGTTTTTTAACATGCTCCAAGCCCTCAGAGACAATAGTTTTGAGGTGCAGTGCTGAAAGACATAAAAGTTTGTAAAGTGCAACAAGCTGTGTAGACAGGTGAGAAGGATCATCATGCTGGTCTGTTAGTTTCATTTCAGGCAAATATATATAATATATAATGAATGATACATTCGTTGTAATAATAACATTGTCAGCACATCTCTATAATAATCACCCAGCAAATAGGAAGATGAATAGGAAAATTCACCACGAGCAAGCACAATCATGATCATATGAAACATTGCACAAATACAAACTTTTCATCCATTGTGTTACATACATCATACATAGTCTTACATGTAGGTATGCCCAGTACACTGTACATTAGGTAATATAAGGTTTGGTGCATGCTAACAGCCCCTGTGACAAGGAATCATGAAGCCAACAGATTCATCAGAAGCAGCATCATTCAAATGCTCAAACAATTGGGATCTACATTTTAGCCATACAACTGTGGTTGATCCCTTAGGGCTTACAAAGTACCATCCTCCTTCGGTAGAGTTACATGTAGTTCCAGAGTTAGCTGAACAGGCCTTGACAAAAAGGGGATGGTACCCTAAAAAAAGACTCTTTTTTACACAACCAAGAGTTTTATTCTTCAAACGTTTCAGTGACCAACATTTTACTGACCAACATTTCAGTCAACGAAACATCAACTGAAAAAACTTGGTTGTGTAAAAAAGAGTATCTTTATTCAGTGACTTACAAACCTGATGAAATCTTTGAAATCTTTATTGTGGATACCACATTGCAGACTTACAGAGTTGGAAACTATAATTCAAGGATGGTACTCTCTAGCCCCATCAGGCAGAAGCAGTGCCATTCAATTCTCAAAAATACATAGTACAAGAGTACAAGTAAAGAGTACAGGCCATGCAGGCTTAGCACTTGTGACTAACCTCGGGCTATCCTGAGTACTCTCATGATGCGGATGATAGTAGGGTTGATGGGGAGGAAGGTGGCATCCATCTCCTCCAACACAATCCCCACAATGGACAGGATCACAATCAACATGTCCAGCTGGTTCCATCTGCAGTGGGGAGGCATACAGTTAGTGTAATGTACAGCTCCATCTAATTTAGCTAGTGATAAACTAGACAGACACTCTGTACATTACATATACTGACAGACACTCTCACACTCATGCTTACAATCTGGTTTAGCATCTGTTCCCTGTCTTTTGAGGGTTAGACCTGCTTGCACACTAATGCTGATGAGGCTTGCACAATTACAATTAGTAGTAGTAGTAGTGGTAGACTGGTTTATTAAAACAAGAACATTGTTACAGTAGCATGATTATGACAAGCCTCCTGGCAGCCACAAAGGTTTAATTCCAAGGCTTATTCTAAGAAAACATTTCAACAGAAGTACAGAAGGTAGGTTTACAATAATATTAGAAATGTGATTATTACACAGAATTGATTTTAAAAAATCAATAGGAGCACCTGAAGAATTATTATGTCTTCTATAAATTATACTGAAAAAAGAATAAATAAATGCACAGAACATTTTAACATCCAACTCTGTCTCTGAGAATTGCAAGCCTAATTTCATTAATATGCAAGTTGGGTGACTGAGTAGGGATTCAATTTCAACTCTTTGAGATCTGAAAACAAACTTGCTAAATGATTAAAGATACTGTTCTGGGCATAAAACTATGGGACCATGTAAACTATACACGTATTACTTTTTATTAGCTACGTTACCTCTCTTTGATGTATCTGACAAAGCCCAGCCCTGTGATCTTGAGTGCTGCTTCCAGGATGAAGATGGCAGTGAAGACATAGTTTATGTACTGTAGTACTCTGAACAGCTCCTGGAAGAAAATAGACGCCTTAGGGTTTAAATCTCTCCTGGCAGTCTTCTTCCAGTAATGTCCATCTGCCAAGAAATTGGCTATAACTGACATGTTTTTGTGGCTAGTATGAAAGGGGTTTGCCAGGCCCCCACTAGGTTATTTGTAGTGAATCACCAACTTCCAAACAGTAGGATTTGGACCATCCATTTTTAGGCGTAACACACCAGTTTTGTACATGTAAGAAGTTAGTACAAGCCACAACTGCAAGGTTCGAACCACTCACACCGTGAAGGATCCACACCCTACGCATGTTAAAGAACCCACCGCACTTAT